GGGGAGCCGGGGAGGCGCTGCCGGGGCAGGTAACGCCAGGATGGGGGGCGGGTGGCACTGCTGGGGCCGCTGCCTGAATTACCTCCCTGCTCGGGGTTGAGCCCTGAAGTGAGATGATAATGACGGGGAAGCTGGTTTAACGTCTTCAGGTTTATGATTACGGCCGAGAAAGGAAAGGTCACCTGTTAAAAATTATAGGGAAACCAGGGTAAGTGACTGCTCAGGGGCTGGGAGGAAATAGCTGCCCTTACTGTGGAAATTAGGGGCAATTTTACTGGATGGTTTGGATAAGGTTTAAGTGATTTCTTATGCTATAGGAGTTACCTAAAATAGCTGTCCTCCTTAATAGAGATTTAATTGCTATCTACCTCAGTTGTGTTTTTAAGGTTGCCAGCAAATCATTCAACAGAAAATGCTTTTTTATATGTATTTTCTTCCTAAGAAGAATCCCTTCTGCTTGCTAAGAAAAAAGTGGTTTGTCAGCAAGGACCTTTATTAAAAGAAAAGCCTTATCATTTGTAGCCTGTTCAAATGAGCCCTTCAGGCTGCTGGAGGCAAAGTACAGGTCGAGAAAGGAAGCTGGCCTTTATGAATTTATGAAAAAGATTCTTTTCTGCTGGGTAATCACTGCATTGTTGCTCTCTCCTCTTCCCTCTCGTCCCCCTGAATGTGAATTGACAACAATGTAAATGATTAGCTTGTTATAGAGGGCCAGCAAAACAATCAAAATGTAATGAAGTTTCGTGTAGTATGCAAATACTGTGTAAATCTGGAAGCAAAGCTGATGTGGGAGGTCACTGGAGTGCAGATACCCCTTTGAGCATGTAGTACCTTTGAAACTTGGTTTGCTCCCACTTGTGCCTTCGGGCAGGCAGTCTGTCTTGTGTTAGCCCTGTGAACTCTGAATTTCCTGTGAGAGTGTGAAGGATGGTCTTGGGTTAAGACTTTTGCACCTGAATGCAGCACATCTTGGTTCAGTTCCTTGTTCAGTTGCAGCTTTGGTCGAATAGCATCGTCCTCCTGGGGCTCCCTGAAATGGAGGCAGCCTCCTGCCTTCCTGTTCACATGGCAGAAGTTGCAGGACTGGACTGTGTCGTGCTGTGTTTGGGATAAGAGCACACTCTGGCTTGCAGCTTCTGGTTGTTACTGGGGTGTAAATAGAGCAAGTGTCCTGACAGGCAAGAAATATTCGGAACTTGTATGCTCTGTGTCTCTCCTATCTATTAGACGTTTGTGGACATGGCTGGGAAATGAGCTGGGAAATGAACCAGTCAGGAAAAAATACTGCGTTCAAGTGGTAAGGAGCTTCCACACCTTGCCATGGAAAGTGATGGTGTGAAAGTGGTAAGATCCCAGTGCATACTTGGAAATATGAGAGGATTAGGAAGGATGTTATCCTGCCCAGGACACGTACTGGAGAGGTGAGTGAAGAAGTGGTGGAGGGGACTTCTGAAGAAGTGTAGGTTACATGAATTTCCTAAGCTTTCAGGCCTCTCCCTCAGCTTGAGTGACTTCTGGAGAGATGGTGCCTGTAGCTGCAGCCTGCACTGAGGAGAGCACAGGGTCTTTTGTGCTAGAGGAGCAGGGCTTACCATCAGCCCCCAGCGGTGACAAATCACTGGATAGTGAATTGTAAGTTGATGTTCATTGCAATACCAAGGAGATGTCCATAACAAAACCACAGCAAAAGAGTATGATCTGTCTGTGTCCTTGTTTTCCTCTCTGATCTTTCATCTTTCATCCACCCTCTGCCCTTCTCCTGCTCATCTCATTCCAGCTAAAATCTGCAGATGTGATTGCTTCTGATCTGTGGGCACTTGGGCTTGGGACTTTCAGCACTGTGTGTGGACACATTTTTTGGCTGCTGCAGGGCTCTGCAGACTGTGGGGAACACCTGAGGTGCTCTGGTTCCTGGTGTGCGTTAGGCTAGTGTGCATCACCCCTGCTGTGAGCAGTAGTGGGCTGCTCCTTCACCAGAGAGTGAAGCTGCTTTACAGAATAGACCAGGCTTGACTCTGGCCTTGGACAGATCTCAAGGGACACAAATATCAAGTGACAAGGACAGTAAAAACTCTTGTGCTGAGAGGTGTGATGGTGACACAATTGTCCTCAAAGCGCGTTTCCAGTGGCTGTGTGTGAGTGGCCCAGGAGGGCCTGGATAAGTGCTGAGGTTTTGTGTTTTGTTTGAATTGCAGGTACGAAAATGAGTCCGAAAATTACAACAGAGCTGCTGAAGCAACTGCGACAGGCAATGAAGAGTCCAAAATATGTCCAGGAGCCTGTCCAAGCCTACATAGTGCCCTCGGGAGATGCCCACCAGGTAGGGATGGATTTCAGGAATGACTGTACTTTTCTTCCCAGAAAAATATAAACCAGGAATAACTAAATTCATCCTGTTCTCATATGCTTTAATGACCCTAGCAATAACATCAGGTTAAACTCTGAGAAATACCATGTTGGATAGAGTTTCTGGAATCCATGCAGGGGACTGAGGTTTTTATGTACCTGTAAGAAATCAATGTGAATGTTCCACCAGCAGCTTCTCATCAGGTTGTCTCCAGGGAAGCTCATGCTGCAAGAAAGGGAGCTTGCCAGAGCAATTGCTGTCCCTGTCTTGGCTGTTAGAGAGGGTGGATTAAATGGGTGAGGAAAAGACATTATCTGGGTTTTAATTTACCCATTAGCACCTCCCGATCAGCACTTATGCTTAGCTTGTGTGACGAAGGATTGGCTGCAGAGCTTCCCTTTGCCAGACCATGGCCCTGCCTGGCTCTGGCTGGAATTTGCTGCTTCATGCTAAAGCTCTGCAGGCTCCTTGGCAAGGGGCCTTGGAGAGGAAAGAAAGAAAGGGGCCTCAGCGATGTTTTCCCTTTCAAATATTGATCTGCATCCTCTAGCCGTGTGCACCCAAGAGGACAGGCTGGGCTCGCGGTGGTGTGTTGTGTGCTGCTTCCAACATTAAGTTTGTTGTACTCTAAGACATTAAAATTAATCTGCTGAACTGTCTTTTCCCTTGCTTGCTTGTTCATATGCAAGTTTCACTTTTCAATCCCTCTGTTGGGGGGGAACAGGATTCAAGAACAGGCAAGGCTAGAGCAGCATTTTTGCTCCTCAGCTGTTTTCAAGAAACAAAGGATCTGAAGCTTTCCTGGCTCACACCCAAAGTTGTCCTGTACTCCAGGATGTGCAGGATTATATGTGACTAAATGGGCCCCTGTGCCCTTGGCTTGGCACTGGATTGAGCTAGGTCCAGACTTGCCTGTGCCCTGAGACCAAATGTGCAGCATCATGTTTCCTCTTAGGGACATCCAGACTCAGGCAGGTAGAGGGGAGGTGTTTTCTGCAGCTGCTATTGTCTGC